ATCCAAACAGAGCCAGACTTTTAAGGCTCCCACCCGTAAGATTTTAGCGAAAAATCCGGAAAGTTTTACAATGTGATGTTACCACACCCCGGGGACAAGTGTCGTTATTCTAAAAAGCCGGTTGGCACGAGTGCTAAAAATCCCAAAGGAGTGGGACAAGTGGAATAATGGGAAAAATTTTGTTTCTGCCAATATACTTTGGAGAAAAAAGGGAAGGCATAATTTTTTTACTATAATTGTTAATATACGGGCAAAAGGGGGGTTTAAGAAGGGGATAAGTTAAAAACGGAGTGAAACGGGGATGTTTTATCTCCCTGTTTTTTTGGCAAACCCTGACGGGGGTAAAAAAAAATATTGTTGGCGGAAACACCGGCCCGACAGTTAGAAAAATCTTATGTGCTGATGATTGTTTTTGCTAAGTAAAAAATAACCATGAACCACACAAAAAATCCCACATAAAACACCCCAAATCTATCTCATTTTCTTTTCCCCCACCGGGGACTACACAACGAAAACACCCATGACACAAAGTGTCCCCAGTGGATGAGGATCACCGGGAGAGGTCCCAGAAACTGCTTTCAGCAATTTGACCATTTTATAGCCGGGCTATATTCGGCCCTGGCAAGAGCCAGATAGGGCTTAAATAATAAAAAAATTGCACTCCAAGGAGATGGAAAGATAACCCCAATAGAAAAATTAGCAAATAAACATCTAAGGGGACTACAAAAAAGGTGAGAAGATAATAAGAAGACCAATAACAGATCAGGGAAAACATTAGAGAAAAAAGGAAAAAAGAAACAGATCACTTTAACAAAAAGGAGGGGGCCCAAAACAGATTTCGTAAAACATAAGTTAAAATTTTTTTTGGTGTAGGAAAATACAGACGTTCCCCTGCAGCGTGGCCCCCGAAAAATGCGACATGTGCTCCAACACTGTCAACTGTATGCGACAAAAAAAAGAGCAATTGGCCCGTTCAAACCCAATGAAGACAAAAATGTATGGTACACGAGAGGATATGGATGAACGATAGCTTTCATAAGGGCTACCGGCCTCCTGATATAAGTTTTCTGACAGAAGGATCGAAGAAGAAGAAGAAGAAGACTTTAACTTATTTAGGTAGTAATATTGATAGTGAAGGAAATACAAAGAAAGAAATGATGACACACACTGGAAATGCATCAGCAGCTTTTAACAGCGTGAAAAATATGGAGCTCCTAATTGTATAGTATTAAAACCATGTTAGGTATTTTCAATTCTAATGTTATTTCAGTTTCAACATTTGCAAGTGAACGTTGGAGAATCACTAAAAAAAGCGAAAGTTAAATGCTTTCGAAAAGAAATGCCTGAGGCAAATTATGAATACAAAATGGGATGAATTCAAAAGGGTTGAAGAAATAAAAGAAAGGTCTGGGCAACCACTAGTATCAACAGTTATAAGACAGAGAAGATGGTGCTACATTGGACACCTCCTGAGAAAAAAACCCAGCGGAGAATCACCAAATACTAACAGGAATTAAAAAGGGAAATAAGGGGATTAAGGGATAACAATGCCCAAAAGAAACCCTTAAACGAACCGGGACAGGCCAAAGCTCCTGAACTGTATTGAGATTCCAGCCATGCACACCACTGCACATCTGGCATCACCAAAACTGGTTTTGTTTACTTTAAACCTTTAAGAAGTCAAAATTTTTACAAAATATCCTGTTAAAACCTCAGGGTTAAAATTGGGATATACAGTGTTCATGATTTCTCAATATTTGTTATTTTACATGATGTGTATTTTAAAAAAAATGACCTTTATGTAATTTGTATTGTTTCACATATTGCTTTGATTTGGGCTAAGATTATGACAGAAACTGTACTATAAATCATTAGACAATCGGTACTCCTTGCAATGGCGACCCCAGGAGACAAAATTGATTGTAAGTTAACATCACTGTAAGTGATGACCCTAAGTGATGTATTCCACTGTTTGTGTAATTTCACATAATAATATTCCACTGTTTGTGTAATTTCACATAATAATATTCTTTCATGTTTAATATTGTTTGAGATTAGGGTTAACCTTAACCATAACCTCAAAACAATATTAAATATTATACAGAATTACTACATTATGTGAACGTACGCAAATAATGGATTGTCTCCCTTATGGTTGCCACCGTAAACAACCATTTGTTGCATTCCCCTGGGGTCGCCGTTGCAAAGAGTGCCACACAATCGTTTTGACATCGTATCATTAACATGTTGGATTTATTATTCCACGTCCGACTTTAGCTATTAATAGCTCAAGTCGGACATGATTATTCCTACTATTTGTCGGTGTCTGTGGCTTAGGCGCTCACCGTTCAGGGAAAATGGCAAAATACTGAAAGTAAAATTTGGGCTCTCCTTTGAACTTACCCCCAAAATGGCGGCCATAATATGATGCCACATTCTGGCCATAAAATCTCCAAAAATATCAGAACGACGGTGTTCACATATATCTAAAATTCGGACTTTCTGCCAAGGAACAAATCTCGGCAAAACTAGGATTACTTGACAATTAATATCAACATTGCACACGGTAGTAGTAGCAGACGATAAATACCGACCGTTGACAATTTCGAGCGTTTCTGCAGACGATACTAGAAGACGATATTAGCGACCGTTGACCTCTTTCGAGACATTACAGACGATGAAAGCTGATTAGCAATACTTTGTTCTTCCGATTGGAGGATTTAGCAGCGGTAGATGTCAGACTTGCCCGCATGCGCCAAACGCGATTAAACTCATCGCCGAGCGTATCCCCCATGCCGCTACGTGGGGGAGGGGAGCTTAAAACTAGGTCCCTGGGACTCACGAGTAAAGTAATTGAAGGAAGATGCAGGAGATGTGGTAGCTGCCGCTCGTGAGTCCCAGCCATCTAGTTTAGTCCCGATCCGTGCCGCGCGTAGCAGCGCGAGGGATACGGTCGGCGGTGAGGCACACTTGCAGAAGCAGGTCCGCAAGTAACACATCGGCGAGACCCTGTTAGAGCATTTGTTTCGTTGTACGGAGCCGGCACATATATTTTTAATAGAACTGAGCCCCATTCGGATATTTTTTGGCCAGAAATTGGCCAATTTAGCTCTCTTTTGAACGGCATCATACTACAGCCGCCATTTTGGGGGTAAGTTCAAAGGAGAGCCAAAATTTGCCTAGAAAAAAAATCACAACCGCCACAAAATGCTAGGGTTGGTTTTGCAACTAAGCCATGCAACTAACACTGTAACAGCTATCCTCCGAATAACGGTCCTAAAATATTGAGGTGGAAAATATACGCTCAGGGCCTCAGTCAAGTGTCAATTGCGTACTTCCGGGGACTATGCCACCACCGCCAAATTGCGAACTTCCGCCACCGAGAGTATCCCACTCACGAGCAAATAAAATGAAGAAAGCTGCAGGAGATGCGGTAGCTGCAGGAGATGTGGTAGCTGCTTCTCCTGAGTCCCAGCCATCTAGTTTAGCCCCAATCCACGCCACGTGAGGGACGCCTGGAGTACTCTCGGCGGTGGCGAAAGTCGCCGGAAGTGCGCAATTTAAGACGACGGAAGTGCGCAATTGACACATGATTGAGGCCCTGTTAGGGTATATTTTCCACCTCGATAATTTAGGACCGTTATTCGGAGGATAGCCCAACACTGTGACTAACAATAATCAATAACAATCAATACTAATAAATAACTGCAAACACGTACGCATAAAATTAACTTAAAGTGAGCTGCTACGCATATTTTTCCATCATGCACTTGTCTGTATTCCCACTCTTTAACAAGTCTAGAAGTATCATATAAACAACCCTGTTACAAAATGAGTACTGATCAATCCCGCCATTTGTTTGGAAACCACTTCTGCTGTACTTTCGGGAATTCCCAATCAAAAATAGCTGCCCTCCTCAACAGAAGAGCTCCACTCGCGAACTAGATTAGCATATTGCCCCTTTCTTGTGCTTGTGGAGTTGCTCTGGCCACGTCCTACTTGAGCTGTTGTATTGAGCTGCTGTATGACTCTGTTCACATGCTGAAATGTATTTTGAGGAATTGGATAAATCAGAAAGATGCAGAGCCAGGTTCTTCTGTATACATATAAATAAGAGTCGGCCGTGGCAGAGCAAACATTTTCATATCCTTCCACAGCTGGACTAGTTTGAGCATCTACCTCAAACGGTACCAGAAAAAGTGATTAGTGGTTACTGATTAATGATTTGAAAGGATAGCTCTTCTCCGAACTTCGTCCCTATATTATGGCGGCCAAACAAATACCCTAACAGGGCCTCAATAATATGCAAATTGCGGAGTCCAGCCGAGTAAGAAATCGCGGCAAAACTTAAACTAGGATTACTTGACAAT